TAAAGCGAAGAAGCTTTTTTTTCTCTCTAAAGAGATGTTCAAGGCTAAAATTTGTTTCTGGAAGAAATATTTCTTTTATCAAATTGCATGTAAAGAGAAAATTGATCATTTATTTGAATTATTAAAATATATCCTTGGATTATACTTAGGACTTTGTTTGCTCCGAGTTTTCCAAGCTTTCAAGTATTTCAAATACGTTTAAGGTATTTCCTATTTGCATGGTAATTAATTTGTCGCGTTGCGTGATAAATGTTGTAATAAAGAGCTGCTTTGAGGATTATCGTAAATCCTATTAAATTGGGGAGAAAAAATGTTACTGGTTTCAATTATTCGGCTGTACGAAAATCCAGCTGGAAGCGAAGACTTACAACCACCTGATATTAGAATTAATTTTTCTTTCATTTCCTTTTACGAATAATACATGATTGTCCAGTGAAAATCCACAAGCGTCATTAACGGCTTTTGAATTACTCATTAAGCACAATCGTTAAGAAGAAATCACAATCAGATATTCACACGTGAACGACACAAAGGTAATTTTCAATCCTGAATGAAATATTGGTAGAAACCTTAAAGCGTGTAATCGTAAAAAAATATAAAGTACCATTAAAGTAATTGAAAATTAAAAAAACATTACCACGAAAGCTTACAAATAGCATATTTCAAATGTTGCGTTAAAAAACAATTTTCTCGTTCACGAATAAGACAATAATAAGTTGCGAATTGAACGTAAAATTGAATGAGACAAAATTATACAAATAACTATGTTATTATTAACCTATAAATAGAAAAAAGTAAAATACTGGGTCTCAGACTGCATAAGATTGCATTCAACAAGTGTTACGTTGTGTTCAAAGAGTCTCAACAGTAGCGAGTGCAATTGTTTAAGCTTCCAACTGGTATGCAGCATGCATTGAATTAGATTGTATTGTCGTTAAGAATGCATCACAATTTTGTAACAGTAATCTCTCCAATCGTGCGTGTTAATTCCGCAGAAGCACGAGCTGTTAGTACTTACGGGATATGAGATACGGTGGCGGCGCGTTGCGGGCTGGGCGAGAACTAAGGTACCTAAATTTCCTAGCTAAAATCCCGGCGGCAGGTTTCGATTCAGGTTGCGTTGCAACGCGCATGCACCTATCTGTACTATGGGATCCTGGCAATATGGAATATACGACCTTACGTGTGAATCCATCTTTAGTTCCAGGACGAATCTCTGGTTGGTAAGAGGGATGAGAGTAGAGCAGGAAATAGAAGAGTAAGAGCAGGATGTCGCAACGGACTCGAACAATGCTTTGGTACACATTGCGTGTTACATTATTGACGTGATAATATCCTTCGCAGGAAACCAATGAAGAGTTAATAATTTAATTCTTTTAGAAATTCTCGAAGCTCTTGGTAAAAGACGAGGTGAAACGAAGATATAGCCACGTGAAATATCAAAGCCTCCAATATTTTATGGATTGTCGAAGGAGTGAACGTTTTATAAAAAGAAATTAGTTGATATATATACTCTAATTAATTAGGCTAATTGGCTCTTGGATGTTGGGTCTTCGGAAGACGACAATGACTTTGTTATCCTTAGGGGAATTTATGGTATGAGTTTCCTTAACGGCAGAGGGACTGATCGCAGCGCCATCGGTGACGAATGACAATTAGTGGGAACTAATTGTTTCCAGATTATGTCTTGGGCTTGTATCGTCTAACTATAGTCTTGTAAATTACTGGATTAAGTCATGCTCTGTATGCTAGGAAGAGCCTGAGGATTTATCCAGAACTTCGTTACGCTGATAAGCTCGATTGACTGTTGATAATGATAGGGTATTAAGTCACCCTCTACGATGTATTAAGACCGTATATTTACAGTTTTAAGACCGTGCTTCATCTCAAAAACTGATTATCAATACGAGCTTATGTTTATGAAAATTTGTATACAGGGTTAGGTAATGCACTGGCTTGGTGTAAAGCAATGATACTTTATATTTTGACAGGTGCTGCTCAACGCGAAATAAACAAGCGGCATTTCAATATGAGAGCGTGTATGAGTTACACGTGATCGTTGCCGTCGTGGGGTTGAGTCATTTTGCACTGTATTGGACTGCAGAGATAAGTGGGGAAACGCACAACGCTCCGGTTTTAGGCGATACCAAAAGAATGGCGCTAAATCGTAGCGGCGAGTCCGGGAGTAGGATTCTGTGATCATCGCCTCCGTCGATAATGGGAATTCCGTCGTAGCCGAGCTAACCGCGATCACGAACGTGTAGCTCGGCGGGCAAAGGCTCTTCGCTACTGACCGCTGGTTCCCAAAGCAACACTTAGAACGAGACAACTCATCGGATATAGCCTAAATACTTTTTTCTTTGCAATCCTAAATTCGATCGCACAGTGTAAGCTCGGTAAGTTTAATATGACAAAAGGAAGCAACTCATGTCTGCCTGCACTGAAGCGTATGATGCCACAAGCATATTTAATACATATTTTACCGATGTTGCGTAGCAGAACGATTGTTGAAACCTATCAGGAACTGTAGAACTTTTCGAGAACTATTGAAAAAGCCTATTGTTGAATCATTTTCAAGAGATTTTAAAAAAGTGCGATGCTGGAGCTGACATCCGTGTAGCACCTCCATTTTTGTAATGTTAATATAATATGTATTATATGTATTAATATAATATGTATAAATGTATATTTTAATAGAGAGTCCACATTGTTCTTCTCTCGTCGGTGCGCTATAAACGCGGAATTGGCAAAATCCAGAAGACTCGCGTGGACGAGGAAAAATTATTTAGTACGCAGCAGAATCTGCGGTTGATCTCTCGGAAACAAGTATAGCTGGAAATATAGTCAGACACTACCGCGCAACATGGAACACTTTCCGAATGCATCACCAAAATCTCACACAAATATAAGTCAGATCTATGCTATACTTTCGGTATCAGCTAAGTATAGCAAATTTATGGCTTTCAGGATGGCCGCTTACATAAATGTTTATGGTGAGTAGAAAAATAAGGAAAAAAGAAAAAGATCACTTACCCCAGGATCTTCGCCCGCCTTTCTCTTGTCCATTTGTATTGTTCATTGGTCCAGTACATCTTTCGACACTCGAGGTCTAAGGAAGACCGGCAAAACGCGGTTTCCAAGAGAATGGCTCTCGAAAGACTGACCTCTGCACCAATAATACATTCTTTGTATACCACTGGTACCCCCTCCCACCGCTCGAGTACTCCTTGGAAAAAGTGATGCCCCCCCTACAACAGGTTTGTCAATTACAACTCGTACAGGGTTCGTCAACGATGCTCTGAAGTGACGATGCCGGCTGATCGGTGTAAGGCAATTGTTCGCATTTCAGGATATCGCTGACGCTCCCTGTAATGCTCCTAAAGCGTACGTTTCATTAGCACAGCAGGGCTCTAAGTGCGTCTCTCTCGCACGCATACGGATTATTACACTTTTTCTACTACCT